GAACTCGGGGCATCTAGTGCAAAGTAAAGTAAATATTAGACAAAGGGAAGACATTCTGGGCTAAATACGACGAACCGGGACACAGACAGAGGAGTTCAGTTGTCAATGTTATTGTAAGCGGGGCCACAATTATATACTTCCACATGTCTTCACGTGTCTGTTTGCGTGTAAATGTTTGCGTGTACACGTGCCAGTGTGTGTGAGCAAGTATCTATCATGGAACCTTACCTGTACGTATGGGTGCGTGCTTGAGTGTGCGTCCCTATGTGAGTAATAATGAGTGTACAGGGAGTGAGCGTTTTTTTTCTAGTTTAAAGAAAGATTTTACGCTACGTACAGCATCAAACGGTTATAAAATGCCCCAAAATTAAAGGTATTACAAATCAGTAACATACGAAGGAAAGAATGAGCGGGGATAAAGAGCGTCAGATGTTTGACAGGAAAGAAGGAGAAAACCACATCAGAGCGCCTATGTGCACGGTATCTGAGTATGAGTAAGGAGAAGCACATCGACACAATAATGGTCATAATTAGTGCCGTGAAGAAGTAAGACAGACAGACAGACAGACAGACAGACAGACAGACAGACAGACAGACAGACAGACAGACAGACAGACAGTAAAGATGTACGATGACCTACCAGTGGCTTCCTCCAACAACCCTCACTGATGTGTATGTGATGGCTTGTGGGTGTGTATGAGCGACAGTGCGAGTTATGTTTGTGAGTGCTCCGACACCTTTGTGCATAGGTAAGTATGTGAGTGTGTGTATGTGTGTGTATGAGAGAGAGAGAGAGAGAGAGAGAGCACGTGTGAAGATTCTGACCAACAGGAGAACATCTATGTGCAAATGAGAAAACAAAATCCGCGCCGCCCATCTGTAAAGAACAGCACGTAAGCTTACAAAAATAAAAGGGGTGCGTGGGGGATTGTATACATAGAGAAAGAGAGAGACAGGAGAGAGAGAGAGAGAGAGAGAGAGAGAGAGAGAGAGAGAGAGAGAGAGAGAGAGAGAGAGAGAGAGAGAGAGAGAGAGAGAGAGACGGGGGTTAGGGTTGGAGTGCACTGAAAAAGCGGAAAAGGGGGTGGGGGGTAAGATGGGTCTGCAGATCGATCAAATTTCTCTTTCGTTCCGTTCTATACTCATGAAACATGCACGACACAGTTTGAAAGCAGTATGCGAGCCTGACAGTGGTTTGAGAGCCTTGTAAATAGGCGCTTAGATATGAAACTGTATTTTATTTCAACATAATTCGTTTGTTTTCGTATGGGTTTTACGGTATTAGCAACACAAACAGGCCATATAAGTGCCAAAGATAAGAGATACTACAAGAGAGTAAAAAACACAATCAGAAGGAGGGGAGATAAGGGCGACAGATGTTTGACAGGAAAAAAGGAGCAAACCACACCAGATAGCCAGCCAACCACCCACACTGTCTTCAAAATGAGCCAGGAGTCTCGTTCTCTGACTAAACAAACACTCAAAGACACGCAACTCCCCCCCCCTCCATTTGTGTGTATTTTTTTGCCGTTAACCCCATCTCTCTCTCTCTCTTCCCCC